CACTGCCAAATGATCTTGGCATTCTCGAATAGCTGCAGCTTCGTCATGTTGTCCACGTACACAGCACCTGCGACTGCTCTCTTAAGCGTGCCTTCGGCCACCTGTTCATCGGTGATCCTCGTAGGGCAAAAGCTGATGAAGTCGCCAGCAGAGACCAGAGTGCACCTCATGAAGACTTCCACGTCGTTGTCCTGTATTGTTGCATGCAATAATGGGGTAGCCAGTTTTAGATTCTGGATTCCGGATTCTAAGATTCTAGATCCCGTAACAAGTATCCCAGGCCCATCGTGATCTAGCCACCCTGCCTTTAAAGGGGACACCTCGTAGTTCTGAAGGCCGATGTCGGGGATGTGCAGCACCGCGAAGGCGTGGTGACGAGCGTCGGCGACAGTCCACAACTTGCGATTGCCTTCTCCATCCTCAATAAGAATGTTCTCAATGTCGCTAGCGAGGTTCCAGGCGATGGTAGTGGCTTGGTCGGGTTCCGAAGTGCCTCGTACATGCATGGGTTAAGCCTACAGACCGACTAGAGAAGGTAGACATAAGGTATTGTGTGTTATATCAGGAAGCAAGCAAGCCTCTTTCTCAGACCGACTAGAGAAGGTGGGCATTGTGTGTTATATCGGGAAGTTTGCAAGCCTCTTAGTCAACAAACCGACTACAGAAGGTAGGCATGGAGTATTGTGTGTTGTTTTTCAGGAAGCAAGCAGGCCTCTCTGTATCAACAGACCGACTATATACAGAAGGTAGTAGGCATGAAGTATTGTGTCACATAAAGCAAGCAAGCCGCTCTTCTGCAGGTCGCCGACGTTGAAGCCACACAGTTCTCCTGGGCCGAAGGAGAGCGTGTTTTCCACACTCAAGTAGATGTCAAAGTTCTTGTCGATGTGCAAAGCCGGCGAAGTCCTGGTGCCTTTGACGATGAACAACCTGGGATTCAGAGTTTAGGCTGTAAGACTTTCGGGATTGGTTTCTTTCGTCCGTTAGTCCTAGGTTTAAGCTACTCCGCTTTGAACCCAGCAACACTTCGTCCAGTTTGAAGTCAGCTGCCGGGGTAGTGGGGAAGATCACTCTCGGAGGCGGCACGGGAAACGGAGGGATGCTGAAGTCGGGGGCCGTGGCAGCAGAACTTGCAACTTCGGGGACGGCTGCGGTCCTCACATTTAGCTTCGGCACAACCTCGTTGGTCATGGTGGCCCTGAAGTCCGAAACAATCTTGGCCCATTGAGCAGAGTAGGTTTCATTCTGATCAAATTTTTCGAGCACCACCGGCGGCAACACGGGCAAGCCATCAGACCCGATGGCGGCCAAGGCCAGCTGAGGCTGGCTTGTAGGAACCGACGTGTTCTCAATCGGCCCCCCCCCCGGCTGCTGCGGCCACCAATCCTCCATCAAAATCGAGGTCATGTGGCTCGGCACGGGCGTGGCTTCCCTGGAAAGTCCGAGGTAGCTGATCTTGGGCCTGTCGGGCTTGTTGGCCCAGTCCTGTGTCAGCTGCCAGCACCCCTGGATCCAATCGGCATTGCTCAATCTCAACTCCACAACGGTGAGCAAAGTGTTTGCGTTCTTGGGCGGGGCGTTCGTAACAATACGGTCCAGGATTGTGGCCGCCGCAGGGGGCCCTCGCTGAAGCATTCGCTCTGCCTGCGACAACACCCACGAGGACTCATCGGACATCACAGCTCCAGGCATGGCTAGTCGCCGCATTTCTCGGACACGTACAAGAGGCACTCCCTCGATTTTCCCGCGGGTCACCTCGCTCTCCAACCAAGCTTCCCCATTCACTTTGCCTGAGATAGCGAAATAAGACTGGCAGCTGAGTTTCCTTTTGTCACCAGCATGCATGCCATCCACGTGGTAGTGCACGGACACCTGGTTCTCGATGTTGATGCCTGCACTCAGGAGTCTGTCCACGATGCGGCGCTCGGCCGTCAACAAGGCCGAGATTGTTTGATTCTTCTGCAGCTGGGGCATGATCAGCCACATGACATTGTTTTCACTTGCATGCAGGAGACAGGCAGCACGTTTGATCATTTCATCAATCTCACTCAAGGTCGGGGGGAGGGTCATGTCGAGGATCAGCAGCATGTACCTGCATCGAACAAGGGCCAACACAAGTAAAAGCAGCTAGGGTCGAGGGCTAGATTATTTTGAACCAGCACACCTCTTCGTTGCATCCATCGTCACATGCTCTCCCAGTTTCTTGCGGTACTCTGCGATCTCCATCTCCCACGATGCCACAGGGCAAGTGCGAACCCGGAGCCAGACATCAGTGAAGTTTGCGACCTGCTCTAAGCCTTTCACATAACGGCGGCGTTCAGCATTTAAAGCAATCGCTGCTGCTGAGGCGTTGCGGCTGTGCTCCTCCTTGGCCCACTGCACCAGCCTGGTTTGGTCGGCGGCCAAGTCAGCTTCCATCTTTGCGAAAGTCGCAGCTTCTACTTGGATCTGGAGGGCTCGGGACTTCTCGATGGCAGCCTGCGGAGGTTATGCATGTTCGCAAGAGGTTCGTTAAACTGGGTTTGTAGCCAGGAGGACCCATCTTAAGACCCAGCCTATAAGGAATACTGCATTTATCTCCGAGGGTGGGTGTTAAGGGCAGTCGTTTGGGGATGAAGGTGTTGGGTTCAAGCTTCAGGGTGAAGACATGGAACTCCCGACACAGCGGCAAAAACCCAGGCAAAACACGAAACAGAAGCCGGGGGCCTTCTCGATGTCGTCGGCGTGCTGATCCAGCAGTGCCTTGATTTGGGGGATCTCGTGGAGGTTGATCATGGCGGGGCATTCCTCGATAATCTGCAGCAAGTAGTCATCAAAGCACCCATCCATGAAGCCTTGCTGCAGCGTGTCCTTGGCCTTAGAGAACTGGTCTGAGGCAAGCTTGGACCGGAGCTCGGCGATGACGATCTCCCAGGCCCGGCACAGCTTCGACATGCGTTGCACCTCCTGTATGCCATTGGTTTTTCGCATAGCAGGAATCGTAGCCGAAAACTCAGCAACCAACCGCTGACAAGAGAGCAGAATGGAGGATTGGGTGTAGGCCATCCGGTCCTTCCACTGTGCAAGTGGCAGTTCCGGGCTATGGCCCGGTCGCATATGCAGGCATCCCAGGGCTGCATGGGTCAAAACGCCCTTTCGCATCCCGTACTCAACTGCGGCCCTCGCCAATACCTCCCTGGCGGGTGTTGGCAGAAAGTGAACTAGATTCACTACTGCCTGCGACTCCGATGGTCCCATTCCCAGAACGGCTTTCACCGAACGTGGGTTCTCATATGCTTTCACGATCGTTTCCACACTCTCCCCGTGCTTTAGCCTCCTCAGCAGCTGGTGATATGTGTTGAAGGCATTCGGCGGTGCCCTGGTCATCACCGAAGCCATCGTCATGTCTTGGTTGAACATGCGAGCAGCAAACAACCATAACATGCTGACAGACAAACTGTGAAAGGCACGGGCCGAGCATCATGCAGAGTAGCGGTTATATTCGGGTCTCAAACCCCAAATCCTCAAACCCCCCACCCCACAAGGAACAAGTATCGATGCAGCAAGGGTTGAACATGCAACAAGCAGAACATGCTTCAGAGACAGCAAGCAACAAAATATTCGACGTCTTGAACCCACTGCAGTAAAACCTCCGGAACCCAAATCCTCAAAACCCCAACCCCACACGGAAAAAAGCATCGATGCTGCAAGGCGGCCTCTGTTGGCCGCGATCCGCTCCACTTCACTGCCGGCGTTGGCTGGGACCATGGCCTTCAGGATGCAGAAGGACCGGAACTGCCAGGGCATGTGCTCGCGGTAGTAGTCCACCAGCTCCAGCTCCAGGATGATGTGCAGTGCCGTAGTGAGTGCCAGGCATCTGGTCCACCCCTTAACGAAACCCACACTGTGAGCTCCAAAGCTGCCCCGCACGAGCTCTGGCGTCTCCCAAACGGTCTCAAAATACACGGGAACCAGAGGCTGTATCACGAGGTACTCGGTGCCCGGCACGGTGGCGGCATCCGACTTGAAACCCTCCAAGAGGATAAGCTGCACCAAAGTCGTGAACACTTCATTCGCGATGAGGCCCTTGTTCCCTGCCTGAATGTGGAAACAGGTCTGCCAAGCCTGCAGCGTCTGCAATCCCGGACTGTAGTTGCCTTGTGACAAAGGCTCATTATCAGGGAGAGGGAATGCTGCTTTGATGCTCTGAGCAAACTCGCGACGATCATCAACACTGGAGTACTTCTTCACGAAATACTCCGATGCTCCGGTGTCGCCGAGGATCTTCTCCAGGAGCTCCAGGGCCTGGGACCACCACGGAATGGATTTGGCCGCCGCTGCCGCTCTGGCAGCCTGGGCTTCCACGTCCAAATCGTTGGAGGAACCTTTGCGGGAAGCCTTCTGCTTGGCCGTCCCTGGCCCGTCGGCAGATGCTCGTTTGCCCATGTTCGGCGACACAGGCACACAAACAAACACTTAGGGCAACGACTTGAATCTTCGGGCACCCTGAGCCACAGCCCCCACACATCATGAAACATGCAATCTGTGCTCCTGTCGTGCAGGATCACATGCGGCAGACAAAGCAGATGCTCCTGCAGGCGGGTCGCAATTTCTGCAACCCAAGTGACAACACTGCTCTGTGACAGCATGCATGACAAGTGACAACACTGCTCTGTGACAGCATGCATCAGACATGACAACACTGCTCTGTGACGGCATGCATCACAAATGACAACACTGCTCTGTGACAGCATGCATCACAAGTCACAACACTGCTCTGTCATCCAAAAACAGGCGTCCGCCCTCAATCGTCGGCCTGGCAAGCGTGGGAAGGCTGGGGGTTCCACGTGCTTGCTGGCTGGAGTCTTCTGGGGATTGATTAAAGGTAGTTTCGTGTGGGAGGTTTTGGGGGATGCTCTAAAATCTCCAGGGCTTTTACGATTGCCGCTTTTATGGCGGGATTCTGAAAGATCTGAATCTCCAGGATTTTTAGGATTCCCACGTGGCTTTATTGATTATGTTCAGACCCTTTCTCCTGGACTCATACAATACATCCTCCTGATTTCACTCTGCGTTTTGGGGAAGTCCGTTTTCCAGACAGACCTCAAAATCGGGTCGGCGTTTTGAGTTTTGAGTCCCGCCACAAAATCGGGTCGGCGTTTTGAGTCCCGCCACAAAATCGGGTCGGCGTTTTGAGTCCCGCCACAAAATCCGGTCGGCGTTTTGAGTCCCGCCACAAAATCGGGTCGGCGTTTCGAGTCCCGCCACAAAATCGGGTCGGCGTTTAAAGTCCCGCCACGAAATCGGGTCGGCGTTTTGGGTTTCGCCACAAAATCGAGTCGGCGTTTTGTAACTCCCAAATGGCCCAATATTTATCACAAAATTGGGTTTTGCCGAAACCATGATTTTGTGAGAAATTGAGTCTTGGTTCATCACAAAATCGTGGTTGCGGACCAATCCCAGCATAATTTGTCGATACCAAAAAGCGCACACCCAGCTGCGTGACCCTGATTTTGTGATGAATCGGGTCTTGGTTCCTCACAAAAAGCCGGCGGCAGCGAAGTGCAAATTTGTGATAAATCCTGGTCTGGTTTATCACAAAATCGGGTCGGCGTTTCGGGTCCCGCCACAAAATCGGGTCGGCGTTTTGAGTCCCGCCACAAAATCGGGTCGGCGTTTTGAGTCCCGCCACAAAATCGGGTCGGCGTTTTGAGTCCCGCCACAAATCAGGGTCTGCGTATTGGCGGTTGGCTTGCTCCTTCTATGACTTGCAACAGCTGAGTGTGATGCCGGATGCCAGGCCCTGCCCCTCCCCCTCCCGCCCCAAAAGGGTCTTCGCCCCAAAAAGCAAACCCCCATTCTCGAGCCGAGATTGGGGGTTTGGTTTGGCCATTTTCCAGCCCCCCCCTCCCCCCAAAAGAAAACCCCAATTCTTGAGATTGGGGGTTTGTTTTTTTCCTTTTCCCTCCTCCATTGAAAAGGTCTTTTGGCTTTGATATGTTTGACTTCGGCGTTTAAGGATTAGGGGGGCCTAACAAAGATTATCATTTTAATTCGGATGGAAAAAGCCGGCCTCAGTCTAGTCCAGGGCATGGAGACGATGCTGTGCTTGCAGCAAGAAGTCCCTGAGAGGTCTCAGATCCAGAGGCCGTGGGCGAGGCTCCGTGCAATGGTCTAGAACCACACCAATGATGTCCAAGTGCAAGAGCATTCGCTGTCTGTTTTCAGGGGTTTTCAAGTAGAAGTCCTCCTGAAGGTTTCGGTCGATCTGACGTCGAGGGAGTGCCGTCTCGATCATGCGACCGTCCAGCGAGTCGTGTGGCATAACTCTCAAGGAGGTCAGGAGGTCGATGAAGGTACGGATGTTGCTCGCGTGCAGTTCCGTTAGGTCGCCATGAACCCAATAAGTTTGGAAAACCTCCCTGAGCATCTCGCCCTGGTGGTCTCTCCAGTGCACGAACCCCTCTACCCCCAGGAGGTCCACGAACAACTTGCGAACTGCTGGCAGGAATCGGCTGGAGTCTTCAGCATCAGCGTCGGGCGGGGCAAAAGGACGGACAGCATGAGACATGTTGGTTTTGGATCAGAAAGGCTTCGGCCCATGAGGCAAGCAGCACGGCAACAACAGGTTCAAGCAAGCGACAACAAGTTCAAGACTCCAGCTTTAGGGATTTAGGGTTTAGGGTTTAGGCGGTTTAGGGTTTGGCCTTTAGGGTTTATAGGGCATATAAAATAAGGTTTAGGGTTTAGGGTTTAGGCGGTTTAGGGTTTGGCCTTTAGGGTTTAGGGTTTATAATAAGGTTTAGGGTTTAGGGTTTTCTGTGAATGCAAACACGGGCATGATTTCAGCCGCCAAACTCTGCTTCGAGAGGCACATCGGCATCGTCCTTCTCCGAATCGCACATCACCGCTTGGGAGCTCAGCTTTGCTTGCAGCTGGAGCGGCAGCTGCTCAAACATCCGGTAGGACTCGCGGATAGCATGGAGCCACGTCGAGCCATTGTTGTGCAGAGCAGAAGCCATCTCATTGATGACCATCATCTTCATGCTGCCTGGCTGCTCCGGCTGTGCTTCATTGCCGCTGGTGACACGAACCTCTGACTGCTGAGGCTCCAAGGACATTGCGACACCTGCAGCCGCGGGCCTGGCACTCGAAGCCGCTGCAGTTGAAGATTTCAGCTCCAGGCAGTCGAGAGGCTGAATCTTGGTTGCGGTGCCATCCACCCACCCCCGAAGATAAGCAGCAGCACGAGTCAAGCTGAACGGAGGGGTCGTAATTGCCGAGGCCAAGCCGTGGATCATCTTGACGTACTTCTGCGGGGCAGGGCGTCGAGGCAGGAATCCTGTCATGCACACCATATCGAGCCAGAAACGGTTTTTTTTTTCATAGCCTTTTCTCCACGGTAATTTCCGCGGAGAGCCCCAAGGGGCAGGCGAGCCAGAAACGGTTTAAAATTTAGGCTGTAACATTAAAACTTTGGTGTTGCTGAACAGTCCCGCAGGGATTGGCCCTGGCAGCTTCTGCATGTCTTCCTTTGTCATGTAGACCAAGCGACAGCTGTAGGCAGAGTCGGCCATCCACTGTTTGCACCTGAAGTTCGGGATACGAGTTCGTAGGGTTGGAGCGAGGGATAGACTAATTTACGTGAGAAACAGGAGCAGGACATCAGAGCTGTGCCCTTGTCGATAAAGTTGATCCTCAGCATCCAAGCCTCGGAACAGACGAAATCCTAAACCCCAAATCCTAAAGTGTTTTGGAAACTCTGCAACATGTGAAACAACGACCTGAGAGCCACAAACACTGCAAACACAGGGCTGTCGCGTCGTCGGAATTCGAAGTAGTGAGGTGCAGAGGGCCCCGCTATACCAGCAACACGTTTACCGGTGGATTCGAAGTAGGACTTCCAGTCGCGAACGTAATCCTGCTTGAAGCTGCATCTCACGGACTCCTTGGGCCGTGTCCTCGGCATGAACTCGCTGTTCAGCACACGGATGAGGCAATCGGGCGTCTCGCAGATGGGGACCTTGCGGCGGATGAAGCCTCGAGGACTGTGAAGCTTGCGGCTTAGGGCAGGGGTTTTAGGGATTTAGGGTGACTGATGCAAAAGAGCCACTTGCCAATTCTCCCAGCCATTGATCTATGTCCTGACCAGTGATATCAAGAATGTACAAGAAGGCTGCAGGCCTTGGGGTTAAAGGCTAGGGTATTTGTTTGCACCTCGTGCGTGTGTCCCACACGTAGGAACGTGAGGCGTACCACTTTTGCCAAACCGAAAAAGGTCAGTGAGGCTGCGGCTGCGAGCATCGTGTTATTCTTGTTGGACGATGCAGTGTTGTCCAACTGAAGGTTCACCTCAAACTCTTCCAATGCCAAGCCACGTTTTTTGAGACGAGCCAGAACAAAGTACAACAGATCTGTGGTGGTCGATCCTCCTTTGGAGACGTCTGCGTCCATGACAGCAAGGTAGGCTGCGAAACCGTGAACAAGAATACCATATACATGGAGTCTCGGTCTGGCAAACTGTTGAAAGAGGTGGTCAGAGAAGACAGGCGAGCGAGGGGTTGCAAACTTGGCCTGATCGATGGCGTCAACGATCAAGGTTATTGTTTTCAAGTGCACCCTGCTGCTTGCTCTCATCGTCCAATAGGCTTTTCTGTCTGCAAATTGGCTGGCTAGGTGTCTATCATACAAGGCCCGTTGTCGAAGACGACCCACTGCATCATGACCAAGTTGGCGGAGCATCAATTTATGCTTGACACATGTAGGACAAATCCCGAACGTGTACTTGTTACGGAACGTCAGTTTGTGTTTGAACTCTTTCCAGGCGCTGTGGAAACATTGCCAGCTGCAACCAGGCTTTGAAGTAGCCTGGTACTGCCGCCATAAATCGTAAACCGAACCAGGCGGTAAATACCTCAACTCGGGCCCCGATGCGGGGCGGGCGTCGTACTCGTCTGGTTCCTCCTCGTCTTCTCCAGGCTGTTCAAAAGGCAGGGTCTCGGCCACCGATTCGTACAGTGTCTGAAGATGGGAAACTACCTCCGAATAGACGGGCCTAGCATCGTGCATAGGGCGTTCCATAAACCGTCTGTCGACAGGGGCAGAGCGTCGACCCTCCAAAACACTTTTCAGGATAGTGCTGAGGCGGGGATTCCAGCCTACACCAAGCAGGATGGAGAGGCCTTGCTTGCAAACATGTAGTCCGAGAAAACTGTACTTCAGTTTGGAACTGGCAGCAATCTCGACATTTTCATCCTCGATCGCCGGGGGCTGCTGCCCTGGCAGAAGCAGCTTCTGACTCAGTGCGAGTTCTCGGAGCATCTCGAATAACTTAGATTTGCGGAGCAAGATTTCACAATTGTTGGGGGGGGGGGGGGGGGG